GCTGGAGGGGAGAAGCGGGAGACCGACGGAGACTAGAGCCGGCCGCGCCGCTGCTGCCGCTGCCGCCCGACGGAGGCCCGGGGAAAGGAGGGAGCGGCCGAGGTGGGTGGGGGGGAGGGCGGGAGAAGGGAGGAGGGAAGCAAATCCGGGTGAGGGGGGAACGAAGGCAGGAGAGGAGGGGAGAGGAGAGGAGGGGAGCGGGGCTGAGCAGAGGAAAGGCGCGAGCCTGCGAGATTCCGGCGGAGAGATGGAGGCAGCGGAGTGTTGCTGCAGAGGCTGAGGGCTGGAGGGGAGAGGGAGGGAGGGAGACAGGAAGGGAGGAAAGGAGAGGAGTGGAGAGGGGAGGGGAGAGGAGAGGGAGCGCGGGAGGAGGAGGGGGCAGGGCAGAGGGACCCGAGCGGCTCCCGATCTGCGGGCGGCGCTGGGCAGCTCCGCCGCACGGCACCTGGCTAGCCCGCTAGGCGCTCGCCTCTCCTCTGCGCGCGCCCCGCACCGCCCCTCCCCCGCGCCCGGGCGCGCGCCACCCTCCCGCCCGCTCCAGAGAAGAGGCCCTGCTGAATAATTGAACAGGACTGAGGCTAGCAAGAGAGGCAGCTCTCTTCCTCCTCCTTCCCTTCCCCCGCACCTGGACGAACCCCAATAGGGCTCTCTGGTCCAGCACGCAGAGATGTGGCCACGGCCACCTCTGCACGCACCCCTCGGAACACACGTGCACGCTAGGATGTGGACGGGTATGGAGACACCCACGTGCGCATACAGGCACCAGTGGGCGCGCAGACACACACAGGCTCAGACACATACATGCATACATGTGCTCATAGACACTAGCACACGGACTCACAGTCAGCGCGGGGGAGGGGCACGGGGTATACACGTGGACCGAGGCACACATCTGCGCACACATACATGTTTGGCCACGAGCGATGAACAGCCAACATACACACAGACACCTCCTCCCAGCTTACCCTCCAAAAACAATGACCCAGAGCCTCAAAGGTACTCAAGAGTAAGACATGTCACACACGCATAGTCTTCTCACCACCTCCCCAAAAGGATGCTCCCCTACCCCCTGGACACCCCTGCTGGACTCCTCCAATCCTTCCTCTCCACTCCCCCTGCCCCTCCGCCAGCCTCAACCTCTCCCTCCACGGAGTTTCGAGGACACCTGTCCACTGAGTGTCCCACGTAAGACAAAACCCTTCCTGGGTCACTTATGTTCAGCTGAGGAAGCCACTTAATCTAGGTGCCCCTCCACTGGAATCTGCCCCCTCCCCAGAGTTTTGGGGACCTCTGGAAAACACTTGTCATAGCCCAAGAGGTAAGTGCAGAGAGGCTCCCTTTCCCTCATCTGGATGTGACCTCTGCACCCACATCAATCTGGGTTGGGTTAGGACCAGGGAAGGGGGGTTATGTGGGGGAGAGCCAGAGGGTAAAGAAAGGAAAAGGGAGGGAGGTGGACATGGACCTGGAAGGAGCCAAAGAAATAGTGGGGTAGAGTGGGGAGTAGAGGTGGTGAAGAAAGGGCAAAAGGAAGGGTGAGGTGATGTGAGAAAGGGGAGAGGGAATGGGGGGCGCCCAAGGAGGAGAGGGCTGGCTCCCGCTTATCCATTCTGAATTCCATCTTGGAGCAAAAACTGTCACCAAGAGCCGCGCACGTGCTTCAAGCGGCTCCCGAATGCAGTCAGCACCCGGGACAGCTCCTCTGTTGCCACTGCCACCTCCCCAACCTCGTGAGCTGACAGGGGCCCCCGTTTGGCCCCAGGCCCTCCAGAAGTGAAGAAGGGGTTCCTCAGAAGAGAAGGCTACAAGAGAAGGCTACAAGGTGCTACAGGGCTTCAGGAGGGAGGAGAGTAGAGACAGCAGCCTGCGAAGCAGGGCCAGGGTCCCCCAAAGCCTTGTCCTCCGGCCCTCTCCGTCCCATTCTTATGCCCCTGGCTCCGGAATAGAGACTGACAGAGTTCTGAGCAGGCAGAAAATGTATGGTCCCCGAGGGAGGGAGGGAGGGGCCGGTGGCAGTGAGAGGAGAGGAAGGGAAACCGCCTAGAGGCCAATCAATATCAGTGAGTGGGAAGTAGAGAGAGTTGGAGGGGGTGACGCTGGGGAGCGAGGGGAGAGACAGAGGGTACAAAAGAAGAGAGGTGTGCGAGAGATCAATAGAGGCTGCAGAGAGGGACAGAGCAAGAGGATAAGCTGAGAAACAAGAGACAGGGGCAGACTTGGTGAAGAGCTGCCTGCCTGCGAGGGGTGGGCTCTGAAAGACAGAACCCCGGAGCAGAACTGATGGGAGCACCTGGGTCCCGAACCCGAGCACCTGGGTCCTGAACCCCAGCCCCATGGCAGGGAGTGTCCCTCCTTCTCTCTTCCCTTCCTCTCTCACTTCATATTCTCTTTTTCATTCTCTCTCCACTTTCCTCTCTCTCAGGGCAGAGATGGGTTCCCTCCTGTTAAATCTCCTGCCTTCTCAGAGCAGACTAATGAGCTTTAAAGGGACACAGAGGTCCTTCACACCCCATGTCACAGATGGAGAAACTGAGGCCACAGTTGGGAAAGTCTGTCTGGAATGAAGGTCAGACCTCTCCTCATCCCAGTCTCTCCCCCACGAGACAACCCCAACCCTCTGAAGACACCCTGGCCAGGCCCACTCTCCTCCCTGTCTTCAGGCACAGAGCCCCTTGGTGCCCAGGGGTAGAGTGAACTGAACAGGCCTCTCGGCCAGGTTCCTGCTTGGCCTTGTGCCTCAATCGGGCCCCGACAAGACCAGCCATAGAGAGGCAGCATGAACAAGAAATAGCTGAGCCGTGGAGACTTAGGAGACACAACCCCCAGAGAAGGGGGAAGTATGTTTGGGGAGCAACGGCAGAGCCCCCAGCCCCAGGTTCCCACCCTGCCCTTCTCGGAAGGTCCCCCAGGGCTGGCATTTGGAGAAACAGCAGGCAGAATCCCGCCGGCTGCCAGGCTGCACCCACCTTGTCTTTACCTGCATGGCTCTGCTCAGGCTCTGCCACCAGACACACAGACCAATGCTCGGGGATGGTGATTTTTCCTGAGACGTGCCCTGCTCCCCAGCCCCGATTATCCCTGCCTCCCACCTGCCTGGAACCTGGAAAAGCTCTTCCAGCCTCTCTTCCCACCCTTGCTAAAAGATGGCGTGACTCCCTAAACCCCCACCAATCACTATGCCGGCTTCCCGAAGGCTCCAGTGTGTGGGGCTGTAGTAGTGACAATGGGCAGCAGCATTTCTTGACCGTGATCCCTTGCACCCCAGGCAAGAAATGCCCACTATTAGCACCCCCAGCACCCGGGGCCTAAATGAGCAGCAGGAGGTAACAGAGGCAGCAGCTCCTAGGGCCTAGCTGCACTCTGCCCCCAGCACCCTAGGACTTAGGGCATGCGGCCTCGGGGTCCTCATCAGTTAAACAGGACGGTCAGTCTCCATCCCCCTGTCTTCATTGAGGAACAAATTCAAAGGGCCCTGTAAGCTGCCAAACACTAAACAATCAGCGGACATTGCTACTATTAAGAAGCAAAGTTACCACCATCTCCAGATCTCCTGTGTACAGCGACTGAGCTGGGTAGAAAGAGGCCTAGCCCTGTCTTTATTCCCCAGTAGCCAGGGCTCGAGCGTCCCTGAGCTGGCCCTCGTCTGGAGGCTTTGGAAGGAACAGAGAGCAGCAGGTCAGACGAGAAAATCCTGGAGACAAGAGGGGGATGTGGAGGTTCTCAAGGCTGGGCCATGCCTGAGAGCACCAGGACAATGCTGAGGGAGACGGGCTAGACATACTTCCAGAGGAGAAGGAAAAAACCAAGGCCTGCCAAGAGCCCAAGCCCCCAAACAGGCAGGTTTATCCAGTAAGAAACTCAGGACTCAGGCCCAGATGACGAAGGCTCCAAGGTCTGTCAAGGAGGCAAAGGCAGCGACCCCAGTTCTTAGCCCAGATCTACTATTAACTACCCCCCCAGAAATCCACCCACCCCTCCGGGCCTCAGTTTCCATCTTTGTAAAATGAAGAAGCCCAGTGCTGCGTCGTAGTGTGTGTGTGTGTGTGTATGTGTGCGTGTGCGTGTGCGTGTGTGTCTTTCTGCAGGCCTCTGACTTGTCACATCCCTAGTCTCTCAGCAGGGCTACTCCAAGGAAGACCATTCAGGTGATGCCTGAGAAGGCTGCCCTCTCCCCAGCTGCTGCCCCAGCCCAATCATCCAAGAGAAACGCCAAAGCCCCCCTCAGATAGGAGGTCACCTCTCCCCACTGCCTGCCCCAAGCTCTCACCAGCTGCTGGCCACCAACCACGAGGGAGTGGAGACGGCTGCTCACCCTGCCCTCTCCAGGGAGGGGCCTCAAACAACATGCAAGTTGGCAGACAGATGCCCAGACGGGGAGGAGAAGAACCAGACAAGGACATGGAGGAGTGTCCTTGTGGCCCCAAGGGACAACCTGCAGAGATTTTCCAGGGGACGGGGGGATAAGGGACCTGCACAGCTGGGGTCTAGGGAAGCTAGCTAGGCCTGGCCTCCCGGGAACCTCCTGAGCCTGCCCCTTGGGAGTGGGCCCACTCTGGGCAAGAAATAAGAGACTTCCACTGCACGCTTCAGAGGGCACCAGAGGAAAGGGGGTGCAGGTCAACGCCTGCCCCCTATCCTGCACCATAGCATGTATGTGGAGCTACAAATAAGACACGGAAGACTATCACCCAAATCTCACGGGGATAGCAACAGAGGCTGATGCCTTTGGTTATAGGTGAAGGGAGCAGTGTCCAACCAGCTCCGACCGAGGAGAGGAGGCCATCTGTCAACAGATCGCCCCAGGGACTCAGCAGCAGCAATCCTGCACGGGCCCAAAAGAAAAGACTCCAGAGTGGACCGTAGCCAGCAGCTCCCTTGGCTCTCATGGCAGGAAGGGATAAGAAGGAAGCAAGCAGCATGGGTCTTGGAGACTCCCCCCTCCTCCCAGAAAGTCCCCATAGCTGGGCATGGGCCAGGAACCCCCCTCCCCGGGCACTCACGGTCATTGCAGACAGGGCCTCCATAGGAAGTCATGGTGCAGTCACAGGTGAAGCCGTCCCACTGCTGCAGGCAAACGCCCTGGTTGGCACAGGACTCTTCGGTGCAGGTGGTGCTGGGGCCTGGAAGAGGCAGGAGGAAGGAACACCCCCCGCTCAGCCAAGCCCCTTCCCTCCCCAGGAGGTGTGGAAGCTTCAGAGCCAGGCAGGAGGTCCTGCTCTCAACCCTGCCAGATTGGAAGGGCCAAATCCTGACAGGGGCATGGGGGGCGGGGAGTGGACAGGTGCTCAGGGACTGCTAGGCTGGGCCTTGAACTATGATAAGGGACCAGGGTAAGAGGCAACAGGAAGGGCAAACGACCCTTCACCCTCTGCACCCCTGCCCCAGAGCCGCCCCGATGCACCCCTGCAGCTTGGCCCTCCTGCAGCCTGTAGTCACCCCTAACTCCTCCACCCTCCACTCACCGTCGCAGCCCCTCTCCACCTGCCCGATGCGGTGCAGGGCGTCAGCGATGAGGTCTGGGAGGCGTCCGTTGAGGTCCACGGAGGCCAGGCAGCCCTGAAAGCCATCCCGGGAGGCCACCAGCTTGGGCAGGTTGCTGAACATGTTCTTGCTCAGACCACCAATGTACAACTCCCCTGTAAAGGGGGGGGGGGGGTCAAAACCTCGGCATCCTGGTCCCTGGTCCCCTCCCAGGACACCAGCCTCTGGTTGACAAGTCCTCCCAGCCTGCAGCATCCCCTCCCAGGCTCCAGTTTCCATACAGAGATCCCACGACCCACCCCCACCTCTTCCTCCTTCCTTCTCCACTTTGCCATCTGTCTGCTCCCCTCCCAGAGAAGCCCAGATGCCCAGGGCGGTCTTGCTTGGGGGGGGGTGGGGAGCAGCTGGAAGAACGGGTTCCATGCACTCTCCCACACATCTGATTCCAGTTCCGGCCTGTAATCAGGGCCTTTCAGAGACGTGAGGCCCTCCCTGGGCCCCTCCCACTCCCTCCCTTCTCCCTGTTCCCAGAGCTTCTTCAGGCCTCTCCCAGCCAGCTCTCACTTCCCTCCCGGGTGCTCTAACCCAGCTCCCTTTCCCCGACAGCTGGGGCTGGGCCTGGGGACTCTGAGCGACTCCAGAAAGCAGTTCTCCTCAGGGACCCTTGACCCCACGCCCCGCTGCCTGGCCACGTCACACCCAACTCCCTGGAAATCTTGGCCAGCCCATCACAGAGCTTCAGCAAGACACAGTCTTGGCCACTGGCTCCTCGAAACAGAGAGGAGCCCAGACCCCCCTCGGGTTTGCCGCCCCGATTCTCTGTGACACACTGCCCCCTTCTGGGAGCTGGGGGGACTGACAGCACTCTGCCCGCACCAGACCCAGCTTCTAGCTCCAACCCTGCCTCCGGCTCACTGGCCTCTGAAGCTCCCACTTTCTCCTCTCCAAGAGGGGGGTGAATTCAAGAGGGTCTCTGAGGACCCTCCCCAAGTCCAGACAGTCTGAGTCACACTGACACGCAGAGGTCCCCATGGGGCTGAGGCCTGCCTGGGGCCAGTGGAGGAGGCAGCTCATGCTGCCCCAGTGGGCTCTGGAGAAGCTGCAGGGCTCATCTTCACTCTTGGTCCAATGCCCGGGCTTTAGGCTCCTTCCCTCCTCTCTCAAGCACCCATTCTGAGGGCAGGCGTTGGTGACTTCGAGAGCTTCCCCAGAGACCCTGGGGAACGCGTGACCCTGGTGTGACACAGACCCTACAGGGAAGCCTGGGTCCAAAAGAACCCCCCGAGTCAGCCCAGCCAATGCCCAAAGTAGGGCAGCAGACAGGGAGCCCACAACTGTTACTCCCTCCTCCCCTTATCAACTGCCCCCTCCCAGCCCACCCGGGGGAGGCACCTGCCGGGACGCTGAGCTCCCCATTCTCTTTCCAGCCCTCAGCCAAGGCAGGCTTCTCTGGCTTGGAGGCCCAAGAGGCCTTCAGCAGCCCTGGGCTGCCTACTCCTAGCTCCAGAGCGAGGCCGCCAAGCTCCCCGCGAGGCACATCTTGTGGCCAGGCTTCCCGTGTTGAGGGCAGCCTCACGGGAGAGCTGAACAGAAAACATCAGGCTGGACACAGCAGAGAATGGGAATGAGGTGGAAACCACAGTGGCAGTGGAGAGAGAGGATCCCAGGGCCGGGGGAGAGCTTGCTGCGGCCGAGGGGGGTCTGGGTTAGGCCAGGCCTTCTCCACAGGCCCCAGGCCCCACCTTTGAGATCGAGGTTTCGGGCGCCATTGGAGTGCTGCGTGACTGTGCGGGAGTCAATCTTGAGCGTGTGCACATTTCCTGGGTCCCTGGACACCACCACGTTGTGCCACTGGTTGTCATTGACTGGTTTGTCTGAGTTCCCCTTCATCAAGGACGGGCCATTCCCCAGGTCAAACACGTAGTGGATGTACCTGCCCCACAGTAGGGAGGAGACACTGGGTCAAGGCGGGGGCAAAGCTGGGAGGGCAGGGTAAGGAGGAGCTATGGTTCGCAAGGGGTTCCAGGTACCACGGGACAAAGGGATAGAGAGGGAGACCTCAGAGTGGAGGGACCCAGCCCAATGGCAAGAGGACTCTGGTGTGAAGTCCCATCATGGAGAGAACGTGGGGATGGAGGGCCACAGAGGAGCCGGCTCCTGAGACAGCCTCAGAAGACGAGCTGGTCTGGGGAGAGGTTTGTGGGGACAGCAGGGCCCTCTGGGGGCGGGGGCAGGACAGAGCTGCTCTAGGGTGGGGTCCTCTCAGGCAAGAGAGGCCACAAGGGCCGGGCCCTGCCTTCTGCCTGTAGAAAGGCCCTGCCCAAGCCCAGACAGTGAACGGAGGACAGCTATAACTGGGAGAATCCTGGCGAGGCCGTAACTGGGGAGTCACCAGGGTGGAAGAAGGGGGTGCTGCTTTTCCATCTCGGCTGGTGGCTGGGGACCTGAACCTTGAGCTGTGGTTCAAGGGGACTGGATATCTCAGCCAGCGGCTGGGGGCCGGATCGTGGTCAGCAGGGGAAGGGGATCCCTTCCTCGCCAGCGGTGCCGGGCCCAGCACCTCACCCCTTGACCAGCTCGATGACAATGAAGTCATTGCCGTTGCCCGAGTTGAACAGGAGAAGCCCATCAGGGGCTGTGGTCTTGAACTGGAAGAATAGGTGCATGGAAGCGTAGGCTTGGAGCGTGGCGAGTGCCAGGTAGCTGCTGCGACTCTTGAAGGTGACCGGATCGGCCACAATGGCCCGTAGGCCGAAGCGAGCGTTGAGCTCGCAGTAGGTGATGTCACCGTCCTTACACTGGTCCATGTAGGGCTGGCCGTTGAACACCAGCCCACTCAGGTGCCCGATGAAGTTGGAGGGCACCACGGAGATGAAGCGTCGCTCCGTCATGATGCCCGTCTCGATGTTGTGGAACTCCAGCCGCGTATGAGCTCCTGCCATCTGTCCTGCTCGGGGCCAGACACAGAGATGAGGTGGGCAGACTGGGGGAGCATTTCCGGGGCTGGGCCTTGGGTCTCCCAGGAGCCTCCCTTCCACACAAGGGCCTCGGGGGGAGGGGTGCCGGCAGCTGGGCCTTGGAGGAGCCAGCCAACTCACTGGTCCAGCGCTCAAGGGCATCCGGGGCCATGCCACCTGCAAGGAGCACCCCCTAATATGCCACTCCTCGGGGAAAAATGGCAGCCGTAGCTTGCCAGAATGCTGCCCCAGGGAGGGAGGCCCAGGAAGTTGTCACCAAGAAGAGAGCCATCCACAGGCCGCTGGAGATGCATCCACTCCCTGGTCTCAGAGCACTTACCCTCGACGGTGACATTGTCCACAGACAGCTGCAAACTCTTGCCACGCCGCACCACCCTCACCGTGTGCCACTCGTTGTCGTTGAGCTTGTGGCCCGCAAAGAGCGTCTCAGGGCCTTTACCTGTGGCACCAAGGGGGGAGTGAGCACGGCGCTCCCACGCGCCCGCATACGGCTTCCTGTGCCGCCCCGAGCGTGCACAGAGTCTCACCCCCGCGCACACAGGTCGCACACACAGCTTGCCGCACCTCTTCAGCTGTGCCACGCACCCACACGCACAAGGACACACGCTCGCACGGTGGTTCCACACCCCGTCACAACTCCAGATAACAGTACTGCCACTTTGTGCGACTGCCAAGGGCATCATTGGAATAGAGTCTGATGGGAAAGGTGCCTCTAGACTGGTGCCCCGAGGCCCTGCACACAGACACTCATACCTACAACCAATATTTTCTTTCCAAGTCTTCTAAGGAACTTCAATGTCAGTGTGTGTAGCCAGCAGTGAGATTCCCAGCATATAGGCATAGACCTATAATTTTCAAAAATACAGAGCATTACCATGCCCCCACGTGTGAGTCTGCACCCACAGCTTCGTTGCTGGCAGTGAAACCTTCGTAGAGACACGCAGCTCCCCCATCTCCGGAGGGACCCCGTGGGACCCTTCTGTACACAGCTGGTTAACTCCACACATCTGGACATGCGACCACACACACAGTGCAGCCAACATGGCCAGAGAGGGGAACCTTTCTTAGGAATCATGACCATTTATTCAAGACCAGGATTATCTGATCCCAAGTCTAGGATGAAATACATTTTTCTGTAGAATGATGCTACACCGCGTTGCACACCCAGATCACCACCGGGCCCCCCAGGGCTCAGGCCAGAGGGGACCGGGCTCACCAGGCATGCGCACACAGGGACCAAACACCCACAGAGACACGCTGAGCACACACAGCCCCTCTGCAGGCATCTGCCGTGCTCCTGGGCTCTCCTGCGTGACATCAGGGCACACCATGCAGAAACACTCTCTCAGAGACGGAACATTGAGCCCAGCACACTGGGATGCTCAGAAATGTCCACACCTGCTCTCCCTCTCACCCCAGCCGAGAGCCTCCCTGTCCCATCTGAATGCACCCCAAACTTGGCAGGAACTCAGCCCCCACCCGCCACAGGAACTGTGGAGGGCTGAACTTTGAAGCCCTGACCCTGTTCCCCCACTCTCATCTTCTTTCTTGCGTGCCTCGCCCTCCCCCTTGTGGCCACCTCTGGAGATGCAGTGGAATGTCCCCACTCCTCTCCGGCTTCTTCTGGCCGTAGGGCGGTGGGCCTTCCTGTGGGAGGTGCCACCAAGGCTTTGCCCCGCCCTCCTGAGGACTTGAGATGACAAGGCTTCCTGGCCTTCCTTTGCTCAGACCTAGGGAGCATGCTGACCCACGGTCCTCCACCAACTCTTCCTGGTTCAGCGTCACTGGGCCCGTTCTGCCCTCCACAGCCACCCCACCCCCACCCACCCTCATGTCTGCTCCCCTCCCCACACCCACTGCCCAACCCCCACACAAGCTAGCCCCCGCTATCCCTCCCCAGATCCCAGCGTCCAGCATCCCAGGCCCCTGGGGGCTCTGCAGAAGAAGAGGGAAGCCACTTACTGGGTGCGCAGCCGACGCGCAGGCAGTCTGGGGGGGCCATGGGGCGGGCAGAGGGGGAGGGGAGACAAAAAGGCAAAACAAGTTTTTTGTTTTTTTGTTTTTTACATCCTTCACAGGCAGGGGTGTCTGCGGGCGGGGGTTCCCCCCGGGACCACTTTCCGGGGACCACGCGTGCCCAGGTGCCCTCTCCCCTTCCTCAGTTGGACCCCTGTCCCTCCTGCCCCCAAGAGGGCTCCAACCCTCCCCAGAGCTGGGAGGCAGGGCAGTCAGGTGATGGGAAGAGGGCTTGCGTCTCCCTTAGAGGGGCCCAGGCCTCTCATGTCTGAGGGAGATGGGCACCTTGGGAATCCCAGTCGTACAGGGGATCATAGTGGGGCTGCAGGCTTGACCAACCCCACATCTCCACATCTCCGGGAGGGAGATGGATGGGGAGGGCCAGAATCCCTGCATCCCCTGCTCTGGGAAGACTCCCTGCTCAGAGCCCAAGTTGTGACACGTCACTCCCCATGCCCCCTGGGCTCTGAGCTAAATGGAGGGGTCTGCCCCAGGACTCCCTTCCCGAGGCCATCCACCTCCCAAAGTCCCAGGGGGCCAGCACCACCCCTCCAGGAACCTTCCTTCTACCCTTCCTAACACGGAGGATGCCAGGCTGCCACTGGGGACTGGAGTGATCTTTCACCCTGAAGAGCAACTAGCATCGATCTGTTCTCCAAGGGAGGGGCCAGGGCCTCACAAATGGGGATACCAAGGCCCCCAAAGTATGATTCCAGAGGACACCCAGCGAGTCAGGGACAGGCAGGCACCATAGGCTAAGTCTCCTGTCCCTGCTCCAGCCCCAGCATTGCTATCCTATGACTCCAGGGTCAGCGGGCCCCATGTGGCCAGAAAGCACGCTATCTACACAGAACTGCAGCCCAGGGCCCCAGGGCCTTGGGCAACCCCCACCCCACCTCGATGGGACACATTATCCACACCGTGTTAGTCAGCCAGCCTTACAGAGGGAACGGACACTAGGGTTCTACGAAGTTGGGAATTAGGGCCCTTTGGACACCTGCACCATGCCATCGGACCCAGACAGCCTGGGGCTGCAGAAGTCCTACACCCTGAGGCAGAGGAGCTGGGTCCTAATCTCATTATGTGGCTGTGGGCAAATGGCTTTTCTCTGAGCCTCAGCTTTCCTCCCTGTGAGCTGAGAACAAGAAAGAGGGGTTCAGCAGGCAGGCCCTTGTCTTTCAGAAAAGGGGCAGTTTCCAGCAATATCCTGGCATCCTATGGCTCCTCCCAGAGCAGGCTCTACCCACAGCCCTATGCCCAGGAAACAAAGGCGGGGGCATCTGGCATCCCTTGGGCCCCTGAAGGTTCCTGCAGTGGAGGTGAACAGATTCCCCTGTGGCTCTGGGGGCATGGGCCCCTCGGGCAGTACGGCTGAGCTCCACACGCGTTGTCAACCACAACAGAAGAGTGGGGGGAGCAGCCGGGACCCTGAGCCACTGCCTGGCACCAAGGGAGGGAAGAGGAAGCAGAGGAAGGCCAAGGAGCAGATTCAGGGGAAAGTCAGAGGCCCAGTGAGAAGAGGTCGAGAGGGTGCAGAGAGAAAAGAGGAAGGAAGGAGGAGCTGAGGGAAGGAGAAGCTAGATGGAAGGAGGGGAAGAATGTCGGGGTGAGGGTGGGAGGGTGCCAGGCCTGCAGTCGGGTCACGGGGGCTCTCTTTGGGCCAGCAGAGCCTTCACCAATGAAGGGTCCAAAAAAGAAAAAAGGGGCTGGAAGGGCAGGCCGATCCCCTGTTGGGAAAAGCTCAGTTCTTCCCCTCCCCAGCAGGGGAGTGCCAGGAATGGGGGTCCATCTGTCCAGAGAAGAGGTGTTGGCTCCAGGTCCACCCCCTGCAAGGACCCACCCTCAGAAGCCCCGCTCCAGTGGGGTTTGAGGACAGCAAACACCCTGTGAAGACGGGTACTGCGGGAAGGAGCCAGCACCATCCCGGAGGCAGGCAGAAAGTGGGGGTGAGAGAGGGCACCAGCCCTCCGGGCACCCACCCACCCGGAGCCAGCTCAGGCAGCACTGGCTAGCGACTTGTTAGCTAGTGACCTGCGCCTCAGGTTCTGGGAAGGAATGGAAGTGACAGGTCTGCGCAGACCCACCAAGATCCTGGCTGGACATAGAGACCAGGACGAGGGGATGAGTGTGTGAGGAAACAGGTGGGAAAGGTCACCTGCATGTTAAGGAACCCAGGGTAAAGAACCTAGGCTTTCCATCTACGCCCCACCTGATCCCCTGCCCCACCCAGACCACACAGATCCCACAGATGGGAGATGGTAGGCCCAAGGCTCCTATGCAAGAAGCCTCAGGAGCCCACTGGCCAGAAGCTCATCCCAGAAGTGACATGAAAGAGTGGCAGTCTGCAGTTCTTGTTCGGAGCAATCTCCCTGGCAGACCAGGCTATGGGAGGAGTTTGAGAACCACTGACAGCCCCCAACCCCCCCCCCAATGGGAACGAAGCACCCTTCCATGGCCTCGGGGGTTAACAGGCTTTGGAACATAATGTGTATTCAGCCTGGTTTACGACAAGAACGAGTTAGGCTTACTCTGTATGGCCTGAGAGGGCAGAACTAGGTCCACAAGTGGGAACTTCAGAAGGGGCGGTTGACACGAAGGAAAAAAGACCCAATGATTAGAGTGGCCATCAGAGATGGGGAGCTCCTGACATGGGCAGCTGAGCAGAGATGGAGGAACTAATGGGTAACTCACACATGGGCCGGGGCGGGGATGGGGCATGCTGGCTGGAGGAGGTAACTTCTAAGGGTATCTCCAGCTTGTAGATTCTCCTATTACAATATGCCCTTCATATCAGCCTCATGGACAGCTGGGTCTTCAGGGGCACGCCTGATGGAGGGCAACAGGGACGGGCCAGGCTGGGCAATGGCCCAAGAGGCCATACCAAGGGCAAAAGGACCCAGGAACACAGGTCACAGTGGAACAGGGTGATGAATCCAGGGGACTCTAGTGTTCTCTGGGGACAGAAATTAACCACCTGCTCAGAAGCTGCAGACAGCAGAGCTTAGGGTACTTGCTCAGTGTCTGCAGGCCAAGGGACAGGACAGGAGGCACAGTCCAATGTCTCTAGCATCCTCTGCCCAGAAGGACGCAGCAGCTCCTGGTTGGCCCTTTCTGGCCCAGCAAACGCCCCACCTTCTGAAGCTGGCACTGAGAGCCTCCTCCCAGTTGTCCCACCAAGTGACCACCGGCAGCCTCACTTTCCTCTTTAGGACCCAGCATCAAGTCTGCATCCTTCCACCGAGCATCTGACAGGTTGCAGAGCTGCCTTCCTTCCCTACAAGATGAGACCTCGAGGCCAGAGAGCAAGGCTTCTCAGGCTTCTCTCTGGTCCCCAGCAGTAAGTCCAGCCCAGGACCATCCTTGGTGGTGTTCCCCGCCTGTGAGGTCCCACAGGCCCTGGGTAGCAAGCAGGTTGGGGAAGCAGGAGTCAGACTGGGTCATGCAGTGTGGAAGCAAGCCTCCAGGCCTGGTTTGAAGCTTAGGTCCTTACCCCAGTAAGATTTTCCTTAGAGAAGGCTGGGTGAGTCCCTACATATGTGTCCTGCATCTGTGTAATGCCTTCATTCCCGTTATTCCATCTGAGCCTCAAAACCACCATAGAAGGTAAACAGAGCGAGGATCCTTAACTTCATTTTACAGATAAAACAGAGGCCCAGCAGAGGGTAATGAATTACCCAGCAGTCAAAGAGACTGGGTCTGAAACCCAGATCTCCTGGCCCCAGGCCCAGTGCTCTTCCCATCAGAGCCTGAGGCTGCATGGCTGGGTGCGGACCACACAGCAGCCACACGCCTCCCTGTACACACGTCCCTCGGTATTGTGGACAGATGCATCTGCACGAAGCATTTGGTCATGGCTTGTCATGAGCCATATTAGAGATGGCATCTCTGCATGGGGCCCGGCAGAGGCAGGGGTGAGAGGCAGTGACAGGTGAGAGGTGGGAGGACTGTCTTGCTGGCTGGCATCCTGAGGGCCACCTTCTTCTCTGCCTTCTAAGTACTTATGAGGCACAGACAGAAAAGCATGCCGATGGGAAGGAGAGGGTAGATCCTAAGGGTGAAAGGTCTTGAGGACCCACCAGAGAGCATTTTCCTGGCTGAGGACACCGCCTCCTGTCTAATCTAAAGGAACCCAAGCTTCTTCCCCAAGCACCTAAGACAGCCCAGGTGAGGAAGAAGCATCTGCCTTCCCTGCAAACAGAAGGCCAGAGATGTTCCCTACTGTATCACTCCCCAGCACACAGAACCATGTGCTACTGTGCGGAGAACACACACCTACCAGGGCAAAGGAGTATGTCACACTGGGTCTGGGTACACAGACCAGGAATGTCTGAGGAAGCACAGGGCCACTCATGGGGTCCTGGGCTGGTGCCTTCCTCCCGTGACCATTTCAGAGGGACCAGGGGTGTTGTACAGACCATGAGACATTGGCCAAAGGGGGTCTCCCTTCCCACTTTCCCCCCTGCAGCACTGACACCCAGCACCCACTCTGTGGGCTGTGATGATGGCCCAAAGCAGAGCTTCACAGAGCCCTCGTGTTCCCCAACTCTATGGCCCCAGCCACCTACACATCTCCCTGCCTCCAGCCCCCGCCCTGCTCAGCAAATCCTTGTCCTGGGAGGACAAAGACCAACTGGCCAAAAGGGGAAAGGGAAAGACATCATATAAATTTATTAATGAGGCAATGGGTCCCCAAAAGGCCACAGTCTGTCCCACAAATGGCCTAGAGACCAAAGTTAGGGTGAAACTGCAGATCAAGATTTAAAAGCTCAAAGCTCTGTGTTCTCTCCAGCTGAGACTCCTAATCTGCTCAGAAGAATTCTACTTCTCTTCCTGCCCAGGACACAACGAGTGAGCCTCGTGGCCTGAATCTTCCTACATGGCAGGCCCTTGGGTGCTATACTTCTGTGTTTAGCGAGGCTAGTATGAAACGGACAGTCATGAGCCCAGCCTGGATGGCTCAGGACCTCCAACTTCCAGTGTTCCCCTGACTGAAAGCCCCACCAAGGTGGGATCCTCATCTTCGCTGCTGTTATAGTCCAAGGGCAGAAGACACTGGCGCTTACAGTGTCCCATAAATATGAGCTGAATGAGTGCACCTGCTGCTTTCTTCCTGCCCCAACAGGCCTGATGGTCCCATCTGCACAGACACCCTGGGGATGGCCCGGTGATGTATGCTCTGGGCAGGAGCAGAGATGGCAAGCCATCTGATGGTGAGGGTTCCTGATGCCCTCCACTCCCCAGTCTGTTAGAGGCAATGGGAAAACACTGTACTTTAGGGCAAATGACCTGGGTTTGAGTCTGGGCTCCTTCCCCAACCACTGCTGGCTTTGTGATGTTGGATGAGTCGGTATGTGAATTTCACAATCTATAAAACAGGCAAAGCAAAGCCCAGCAGGTGATCTCGTGGCTTCACAGGGCAGCTATGGGACTCAAGCGTGAAAGGAGACAAGGGAAGACATGTCCCGAGTTGTCCAGCGTCATCTGTGTACCTATGCACACAGACATGGCTCTTTAAACTCAGAGCAGGTGAGAGTGGCTATGTGCAGGGTCAGGTCCTCCTCAACTCCAGACGAGCTACGCTGAGCTCAGGCTTAGCACCGCCAGGCATCTGTGAGTCCTTCCCAAATGAATGAACCAGTGAAAGAGTAAGTGGATGAGCCGACAACCAAGAAGGAGCTATGTTGTTACGTGTGGATGCAGGACAGGCGCGACCAAACCCAAATGAGTGTCCCGGGAGAGCAGCTGTCACACCGAGACACACTGGGATGGATGGCACGGCCATGCTGGGGGCACCCCATACCCAGTGCTGCCAAACATGGGGCATCCCCTACACCGTGCATCCTTGCTAGAGACGGAGCTCTCAGGGGCGCTGACCCAGGATTGGCACCTCCCCATTTCCCACTCTCGGTGGCGCCACCACCAGCTTCTCCAGACAGAGGGGGTGTGGTCAGAGGCAAGGACAGGGAAGGGACCAGAACACAGGGCGGGGTGGTTACCGAGGTTGACCGTGAGCTTCATCTGGCCCCCATCCAGCTCAAGGCGCAGGGTGTCGGCGGACTCCCTGGAGGTGGTGGCCATCATTAGCCCGTAGGCCCGCTGGGACATGAAGCGCAGAGACACATCCTCCGCCTCCGTGTGCATGGCATTCGGCAGCATGATCTTCATGTACATGGAGCCATCATAGCTCAGGACCGTGGCCTCTGCCCCAGAAGTGGGGGGACAGGAAATCGAGGTACAGGTGAAGGCCAGTGGAGGGAGAGAGAAGACCAAGAGGATCGTTACAAGGATGACAGGCCCAGGGGTGGCCTGTGAGGGGCACCCTGAGGAGGAAAGGGCCCAAAGATGGGCAGCGGAGACACCCGGAATGAAAACCAGCCTCACCTCTCTCACAGACCCGCCCCAGAAAGCCGGTCCCGATGCAGTCACAGACGAAGCGGTTCCAGCCCTCTCGACAGACGCCCCCGTTGCGACAGGGGGCAGAGGCACACTGCTTCAGTGTCTCCCGGGAGCAGAAGGGGGCGACGCCCACCGCCCCCTGAGCCTCGGCCAGGCCCCGAAGGTCTCGGCTGCGCCCATCGATGAAGAGGTCCCGCACACAGCCCACGTAGCCAGCCCGAAGCGCCGCCGTCCACACCTCCGGGGGCAGAGGCAGGTCCACCCGTCCTCCCTCAGGGAGACCACCCAGGTACAGCTCGCTCTCCAGGTCCAGAATCTCACTCTCCCCGGTGGCCAAGAACGGTGTGCTGCGGCTGTTCACCGAGATGGAGCCTAAGGATCAAGGGAGAGTGGGCCTCAGGGACGAAGGCAGGATTGAGAGTCAACACGGGCCAGAAAGGGACCCCTGACCACCCACCCCACACCCTACAGCAGCCCTGGGCCAGAAGCTCAGCCTTATTTGCAGCTGCTGATACTACCTGACAAAGATTTCAAGTTCAGGAGCTCAGGTGAGCCAGCCCCAGCCCAGCTGTGGTGTGTGGTGGGCCTCTGTCCACACTCCTCCCTCTGCACCTGAGTGAGTCCTCAGGGGATGCACAGCAGTTGGACATGCCCCAAAGGGCTGGATCACTCATGGGTCATCTCTCCGGCCAGTGCCTTAGACCAGAAACCAGAGGCAGAGAACCCTAAGGAGGCTGAAAGGTTTGAATCCAAAGTGTTTTCTTCCTACTAACATTTATTGAACTTTTATGACTGTGTGTCAGGCACTCGGCACTTCTCTTATGTCAGGGTCTCAAGGTAACCCTATGAAAATAGCCCTTTATGATCCCATTCTGAAGCGGCAGGTGAGGCTTAGGGAGACTGGGGAACCTGCCCAAAGCACCCCAGAGGGTAAGGAGCAGAGGCAGAGTGCCATCCAGAGCCTGCTGGTCCAACCCTCTGCCTGGTGGACAAGATGGGCAGGCAGATCCGCTCCCAGAGCCCGACACAGGGTGACAGTCAGGAGAGGGGTGGCCAGGCACAGAGCTCCTGAGTCGTAAGACTTCTTTAGAAGGAAAGGCTGGTTATCTTAGAAAAAAGATTTGGGATCAAGTGGGAGCTTCAAAACCTTTACTGAGATCTTTAAGAAGCAGAAGCCTATACATTAGAAACTATTCTGTTTACATTTTTTTCTATACTTTTTCCTTCTTCTGTCCTTTCTCAAGAATTCTTAAGGGAAAAAAAAAAAGTCTTTGGGCGCCTGGGTGGCTCAGTCAGTTAAGTGTCTGCCTTTGGCTCAGGTCACGATCCCAGGGTCCTGGGATCAAGCCCTGCGTCAGGCTCCCTGCTCAGCGAGGAGTCTGCTTCTCCCTCTGCCTCTGCCCCTCCCTCCCACCCCCCCAACCCATCCACTAATGCACTTGCTTTCTCTCTCTCTCATAAATAAATAATATTAAAAAAAAAAGTCTGCCTATCTCCACAGGGTTAAAGAGAGGTAAGGAGGGTTTGGTCTACATTAGCCTGACTGGGCAGAGATCTTGGACAGCGTAGGGGGTGCAGTAGGAGATCAAAGCATGAGTACAGGGTGTCAAATTCAAGAAGCAGAATTAGGGCCTCTTCTATGGATGGGACTCCTAATCTGGAGCACATTCTCCTCTGCTCAAAACCTTTCCTAAGCCAGAGAAGTCACTCCCCTGTGTCCCATTTTAATAACATGGCCCTAGCTTGTCTCTCCTGACAAGGTGTCAGATGTCCCAGGGTCTCGCTGCTAAAACCCACTCCCTGACCAGGCCCCCCTATATGGCCCTCTGATCACCCATATCCCTGTTGGTAGCAGATTCCCCAGATGCCTGCTCTACCCACCTGCTGTGGGGCCTCCTGGACATGGACGCTGCCCAGCTGGACTCTCAGTAAATGAACCAAATGGGGGAGAAGGAAGAGGGAGGGAAAGGAAGAGATGGGGAAAGAATGTACAATGGAGAGTCAACAAAAGGAAATTAAAGTGAGTACAGGCCTTGCTCCAGATCTTTGCTCCAAAACAGGGAAATGGAACAACCCAAGTGTCCATTGACAGATAAATGGACAAACAAAAGGTGGTGGTATTTACATACAATGGAATATTATTCAGCCATAAAAAGGAAGGAAATGCTGACAGCTGCTACAACATGGATGAACTTGAAAACACATTCAGTGAAATCAGCCAGACCCAAAAGGACAATTATTATATGATTCCATTTACAGGAGGTCCCTAGGGTAGTCAATCCATAGAAACAGAAAGTAGGATGGTGGCTGCCAGGGGCTGGGGGAGGGGAACAGGGAGTTAGTGTTTCATGGGGACAGAGTTTCAGCTTGGGAAGACGAAAAGTTCTGGAGGTGTATGGTGGTAATAGTTGTACAACAGTGTGAAGGTCCTTAATGCCAGCGAACTGTGCACTTTAAAAATGGTTAAAATGGTAATGTTATGTGTGATTTAACACAACTAAAAAAAAAAAAACATGGAAAAAGTCAAGGAGAGCTTTGTTGGGATGACTGCCCCAAGTCTGGGATTAAGTGCACAAATGAACTTGGGACATCAGAAATGGCCAGAGCTGGTCAAACAGTGACCCAAGGACCAGCCAGACCTGGTGTATGGGCTCTGGAGATCTGTGGGAGGCTAACGAGACCACTGCATGAAGGGAGAGAGCAGCAGAAGGCCCTGGGGTTCTCTGCAAGGCCTGAGCAGACTTCCAACCTAGAGAATCACTAGTCACCTATGGGGAAACCCTGGGAGGCAGCGAGTGCTCTGTGAAGACCCCCAGGTGCCATCATGAGACAAAACCAAGGGATGAACCCATGTACTGTAAAGCCTGGGGACGGGGATATTTCTCTGGGGAAGAGAAGGGAAGAAACAGCCAGCCACAAGAGGCGGATGTTTCTGGGAGCCATAGTGCCTCCTTCCTCCCTGTGTGTGGGGGGAAAGAGCCCCTCCACCCAGTCTCGAAGGCCTGATGCAGTGACAACTGGGGGGGGGGCACAACAATTTAGCTGATGTTGGTAAGTGCTTACATTGGATAATGTGTCAGTTCTCCTTTACATCAATTCATTCTCTCATGGTCAACAAATGGAGAAGAACGAAGAGAGAATTGGGCAGAAAAGAAGAGGATGGGCAAAGAAGACCAAAAAGGAAGAGTAGAGGAAAGGGTGGTTGGAAGTAACAGAAGTTTCAAGAAATAGCACCTGCCTGGCCCGAGCACTCTCTGCCCTGCTGTTTTATTGTGCTAGAAACCTCACCAGGTGAGAGTGTCAGGTACTCCTGTGTCCCCCCACCAGAGCACAAGCTCCGTAACAGTGAAGACTCTTTCGTCCACCACCATCCCTAACCCAGCACCAGCCCTAATCCAGCACCTTGGACAGCACCTGGCACACAGTAGGTACTCCGTAAGTACTTGTTAAGTGAGTTAATAAAAGAAAGTCGCATGGACCTAGCTAGAAGGGAGGCAGGGTTGGGAAGATTTTTGTTTGTTTAAAGGAGAATGGGATATCTACTCTGTGTTAGACACTGTGCTATGCTTTTACAGATATTCTCTTATTTTCTCCTCTTAAGGACCCCAGTGCAATGGTTCCTTTTATAGATAATGAAACTGGGCTTCAAGGGGCTGAGTAAGGGCCTAAAGTCGCACACATGGTAAGTGGGAGAGCTGAGGTGTGAAGCCAGCTCTGCTGACTCCGAACACTACGCTCCTCTTGTCAATGCACCATGACAGGAGGGGCAATGAAGGGGCTGACAGGATGGGAGGAAGGGAAGGACAGCAGTGGGAGGGACCTGGAAAGGATGGGGAGGGGCCAGGAGGTGAGTGGGAGGGGCCTGGAAATGATGGGGAGGGGCCAGGAGGAGTGGGAGGGGCCTGGAAAGGATGGGGAGGGGCCAGGAGGAGAGTGGGAGGGGCCTAGAACAGATTGGGGAGAGGCCAGGAGGAGAGTGGGAGCGGGCTGGAAAGGAAGTCAGGCAGGGGGAGGGTGGAAGGGGCCCCCCAGCCCCCAGGCCTCCTGACCTTTGCGCCCGTCCCTTTGGAAGTCCACGTGGCACCACTCGCCGTCGTTGACCTTGCGGCTAGACGCCCGCAGCTTGATGCCCCCAGAGCCCATGTCCAGCAGGAGGTAGAGGTAGCCGTCCAACAGCTCCATGGCAAAGTAGTCAGCCCGCTGGGCAGAGCTGTGGCTGCCAGCCCCGGCCCCAGCCCGCCGGCCCTGGCTAAAGAGCAGGAGCCCGTTGGGCTCAGTGGTGCGGAAGTCCAGGGAGATGGAGCCAGTGCGTTTGGCACTCCAGCGGGGCAGTGCCACGAAAGCCTCAGGACTCTCAAAGGTCACGGGGTCGAGGGCAGCCACATCCTCACAGCGGAATGACAGGTCCCCCTGCAGCTTCATCTTGGGGTCCCCTTCCTTTGCCAGGCGGGATAGTTCCAGCTTGAAGTCATTATTCTTATAGACCACCTGCAGGGAGGGGTGGGGTCAGGGATGAAGAAGCAAAAGCAGCTCAGGGCCTGGCCACTCCTGCCCAGCAGCAGCAGAAGCCACCATGGGACCCTGCCAAGGGGGGTGGGGGGCCTGCTCAGTGCCACTGGATCGCTGGCTTGGACCTCTGTTCTAGAACTTCATGCACAGAGGCTGTCAACAAACACTTCCCTTGCCCCACTTATGGTCTGTGCTCTGTCCTCTGGCCCAGCCTAGCAGGGCGGCCCTCAGTACCTGCTGAATTGGGGTTCATAATAATGGCAAGAGAACCACTGCTCATATCTAGTGGACATCTTCCAACTGACAAAGTATTTTTATTTACCCTCTTGTCTGCCCCTCACACCCACCTTGAGAAGTAGGTACTGACTACTCATTTTCCAGATGAGGAAACTAAGAATTAGACAGGCCGACAGACTTGGCCAAGGTCACAGAGCTAGTGGGTGGAAGAGCCAGAACCAAACACAGGTCTTTAGTCTGCACATCCAACATTCTTTCCTCTGCACCACTGCCGCCCTCGAGGGTCCTCGAGGGTCCTAGAGAGGATGGGGGACTTCGGAGGCTCAAGGAAATGAGAGAGGAGAAGCTTCTTGATGAAATCAATGGGGCTTAGGTTTTGAAGAGGGGAGGTCTCCCTGCACCTTGAAAGGAACAGAGGAACCAGGCCGTTGGCCAGCTCAGACTAAATCACACTGAAGACATGGACCAAAGGGTTTCCTGGCTGACCCCAGACCCTTCCTAGCCTTACTCACGTCCTTGAGGCAGCCCATAAAGTTGTTGCTGACGGGTGAGCCCGGCAGGTCAGCCGTGTTGGGACTGCCCCCAATGTAGAAGAAGTCATCCGAGCCCAGCATGGTGTAATCCTCCTGCGTGTAGCCTGTGGTGGTCAGGATCCCGTCCACTGAGATGGTCACCTGCCCAGCCCAGGGAGGGAGGGGGAGAGACAAGGAGACAACCGGCATCAACTCCCTGGGAAAAGCCACGGGCTGGGCAAGGGAGGGGCCGGGGGGCCAGGGGGAGGGGGACCCCCCATTTTTATGTCTGCTTGTCTTGGAAGAGGAACAGTGGGGGGGAGAGAGGGAAGGCAGGAAAGGAGGTAGCACAAGATTTGATGGTTTCAGGGTGGGCTAAGTCCTGCCCCACAGCCCCCCAACTCAGCAGGCAGAGGCCTGAAGGGTACTTGGAGGGCTCACCAGGAAGAACAGCAAGAAGCAGTTCCTGGAAATGGCTCCAAACAGGAGTAGCGACCTCAGGACAAGGCCCCAGTATGGGGGGATGCAAATGGCATCCTCACTTCCCTCCTCTTGAGGTGCTTTCTGGACCCTCATGTGATTTCAGAGCATCTCTCATAAAGGAGGTAGAGAATACCAGTTCTCCTTGGATCTTGGTGGCTTTGCCTCACCTGAGGCTGTCCCTTCAGGGCACTAAGGAATCCTCTCAATCTGAGACCAACAGGGAAATGGGAGATAGCGAGGGCATGCGGAACAGGAACTCAGATACTACTGGGGAGCATTGGAACTTCCTGGGGGACACAGAACGCCCCCCGGGGGCTGATTCCCACCACCACCACCCTAACATCAAGGGTTCCCACTGGTCCTTGCCTTCTTCCTGAGTCTGTCTCTTTATTCCCCAGGTCCCTCTGTACGTCGGTGGTTCTCTTGTCTCCCAAAGTGAGGGTAGCCCTTTATTTATCAGCCTGCCTTCTTTTCTTCGTTGTCTTCCCTACTAACACCGCCATCATTATTCAGGTTAGGGAACAGGGGGTGTGGGCTAACCTCACGATACCTTAACCCTGGGCTGAAAAGTCAGCTAAGAAAGCAACGTGGGTAAGGAGGGGGGGAGTACCCGATGTTCCACGGAGAGGACAGGGGCTCAGCAGTGACCTGGGGAAGGCAGAAGTGACCTTGGGGAGGAGTGACATATGCAAGGAACTGTCTGTCTACCCCCTCCCCAGACAAATGCCCACCTGGCCCCTGAAAAGTTTAGCCATAGGAGCAGCCCGCAAGGGCTCCAGAGACCCAGCAAGACTGTGGGGGAAGAACCAAGGGCTTCGGGACCATGAGCGCCCCACTGTAGGGAAGCTGTGGCTTAGGATGGTCACCTGGGAAGAGCAGGCAGGCTCCTACAGGAGCCATCAGGAAGCTGGCTCACAGTGAACCCAACACCGTGCTTCCGCAGACCACAGCTCACCCCCACTTCCCAGTCCCCAAAGATGCTTCAGGACCCTCTTTTCAGGCACAGTCTGGAGATCTGGGCCTTCCAGTCACATCCTGTGATGTCCCCACCCACACCGGCCCATACGCACATGCCACCAGCCATCTTCCTGAGCCTGGTCTCCAGGGTTCCATTGTCATGGGGTGGGAAGAGGATGTTAGGAACTCCGAAAGAACATGGGCACAACGAGGCAAGGGGAGCTTCCCCCACAGGGCCCTCAAGTCCTCCTCACTCACAGTGAGTGGGGGTAGAGCTGAGCAGAATGAGGGCTGAAGGGGCCCCCTCCTGGGAACCATCAAACCTTGTGCTGGGGGGACTAGGTTCAAGGACAGAAGGTCTATGTGGGAGGGGGCAGTTTGGCTTTTGAGTCTTATTTTGAGGGGAGGGCTGGTCATTATTGTTTATTTCTTCCCTCAACCCACCTAAGGCTGGGAAGTAGGGATTGGGGTGGGAAAGGGAAGTATCAAAGTATTAGTCACAAAAACATGCATACAAGATTAGGATGGGCAGAAGGGGGCTGGGGAAAGGGAAGAAGGGGACTGGGGTGAAGGGGTGGGATAGGACAGGGAGGGGTGGTAGGTGAAGGGGTCTCCCTAGGGCAAATTCAGCTCTGTCCCACCCTGCACCTCCACTCTTGATGCCACACCGAGACCTGGAAATAGGCCACTAATTAGTTCCTCAGCCTGTGTCTGGTCACCCCAGCTAGACGGTCAGCTCCTGAAGGGTAGGTATCTGGCCTGACATGTCCCTGTAACCACATTAATCCCAGCACAATCCAGGGACACATCATGGTCATTAAAGGCGAACATCAGGTCACCTCGTGACCCAGAGAAACACTGGGCTCTCCCTGCCTGTGTCCCATCTATAAGCCCAACACCTCAGGAGCCTTGAGTGGACAGAGCCTCCATCCTCTGAGACTGCTCTAATCAGGTGCCCTTGCTTCTGTGCAGGGGGAGGGCCCCGCTGGCCCCCAAGTTCCTCAGGAAGAGGCTTCCCTGGCCTCCTCAGCCTTCCAGCCCCCCTAAGCCACTCAGCTGTGTCCTCCCTCCTCGGCTCCAGCAGCCAGGGCACCAGCTATGGCTATTTTCCTCATCCTATGGGCTCTCTTTGGCCCAGTCCATGCAGTGAGCTCATCTGCCTTTGTCATTCTAGAGTTAGAAGGACCTGACCTGTGGGGAGCACCCTCCTCAATTCCCCTTCAGACTGGGCACAAATCTGACCTTGCCCTCTACGGCTTTATGCAAATCCCTGCCATGTGGTGCCCCTTTTGGAGAAGGGCTGCCTTAATCGCCCTCCTATCTGTCCCCCAAATTCACAACTATTTTTTAGAGCAGTCCTGGCCCAGGGGCTGAGGGAGAGGGTCGCAGGAGACAGGGTGACATACGGAGGTGCATGGAGGAAGGGGGGGTCAGCCTGGGGGTGGAGGAAGTAGAAGGAGAAAGAGGGAGACGGGCACTAGGTGGAAAGGAAGCCAAGAGTAGGGGGAATGGAGGACAGTCTCTGGGGAAGGCAAGGAGGGAGATGACGGAGATTAGTAAAACCCGACTGTTCCCTCAGACAAATCAAAGTCCAGACACAAAAATGGCGGGTTCGTTAGTAAAAGCAGGAAACAGGGGCGTAATTCCCCCGTCCCCCTCCACCCCAGGGGTTCGTGATGCCCCTGTCCCCCAACCCCCCCTCCCCGCGCAGCTTCTGGAAGGGGTGGGGCCGGCGGGGGAGGAGGGCAGGGGGGCCGTGCGACAGAACAGCCTCTGCAGCTGGGACACATGCAGGTTAGAGGGCCAGGGTTGGGAGCCAGGCCCAGCAGGAGAGGAGAGAGAGAGGCAGCCGCAGGTGAGAGGGCATGCGGGGTCAGGGGAGATGGGGAAGAGCAGAGATGGAGGCGAGGAAGCTGTGGGTGCAAGAAGGAGAAGCTTCCTTCCAACGGAGGAGGAGAGAGGAGCCACCGCTAGGACAGAGACATTTATGGATTAAGAAAGAAAGGGAAGGGACACGAGGCTCAGATCCTCCTCACCAGAGGGTGACTCAGACACTCGTTCCCACCACCCATTCACTACTAATCACTGACCCAGACACACCTGCTCACACACCACATCCTGCTGGAGGCAGCGGGAGAAGTCCTGACTGGCTCATTTCCAAGCATCCTCCTTTCGTCACCAGGACCATGGCTAGCACCCGAGACACAGCAGACATTCGGCACCCAACCCACACCAACACATCAACCCAGACTGCCAGGGCCCTGAGTGAGGACTGAGGACGCCAACGGGAATGAGCCATAGCTCTGCCCTGGAACAGCCATGAGCAGCTGGGGAAGAAGGGGTGAAGCACCGAAGACACGGGAGCCCAGCCTCCCTCCACACCCCAGGAGCATGGAGTGTGGCTGGAGGTGGCTGCAAGAGGCAGCCTCTGACCTGGGCGGGGTCTCAACCCTCCCCGCTGGGCCCACCTTTCTTCCGCTCTGCTCTGCCTGTCTGCTCGCAGGCAGGCTGGTGGGATGTGAAACCGGGTCCTGGCCATACCTGTCCCCAGAGGAACACTCCATGCCTGTCCTGACCCAGGAAGAAAGGCTGAGGAAGAGGGAAAGCCCCTCTGGCACCATCCAGCGCCTTTCCCAGCTGCCTGCTAGGATCACAGGGTCACTGACCTCCTTGGGAGGGGGACTTATTCAGGGGAGAATAAGATGGAGGGCTGATGTTTTTGACTTGTGGATGGGCTAGATGGGTTTCTGGGATTTTGAAGGCCATCCACATTATATGCAAAATTGTCTCCTTTGTCCAGGGGCGCCTGGGTGGCTCAGTTGGTTAAGCAACTGCCTTCGGCTCAGGTCATGATCCTGGAGTCCCGGGATCAAGTCCCGCATCGGGCTCCCCGCTCGGCGGGGAGTCTGCTTCTCCCTCTGACCCTCCTCCCTCTCATGCTCTCTGTCTCTCATTCTCTCTGTCTCA